GAAAAAAAGTACCCTCTTTTTTTTTCACTAAATGTCTTAAAATTTCTTTTCTCTACACTGTCGTACCAGAAACGTGGTGTTTTAAATGTAAAGGTAACTTCGAACTTTTGAAATCAACATTGACTGATTCGATATTCATAGGGAGAACAATACCACGGCTGATTTAAGTAGCGGTAACCGGATGGACATGAACCTCCCGTACGCTGATTGAATTTAGTTTGTAGATAATATGTTACATATAATGATTAAGAAGCTACGATTTTTCGTTAGAGTAATTATTAACGTTCTTAAAAAGTCCCTTTTGCAGATATCAAGGCGATCAGAAAATTGGGAAAAAATCATTTGCAATGTGTTTTTCTGACACTGTACGCACACAAATACCCCCAAAATCGGACTTAAATACATTTTAATCTTATCAAAATAGATGTAAATCGTGTTTATTATCGATGTTCTAAATCATAAATCCGACAAGCTTTCATTTAAACCATTACAACTGAAATTTCCATTAGAAATACAAATTTTAGCATGGGTGTACTGAAAATTCAACATTTTTTGAAAATGACCCACCTACGAAATTCACGAAAATTTGTATCCCACAAATTAATAATGAATCAAGAGTACTTAATTGAATTGAAGTGGCTACCACATTGTTTGGTCGATATTTATGACTGCATGATATTTCTTTACTTGCACGTTGTGACTCACATTGGTGAATGTTTCCTTGTTTTTTTGTGATCTGTCATGGCTAATTTTTAAGTGTCTAATTATTTCAAACTTTTTACCTTTTCAAGGAAAGAATTTGAAGATCATCTAAAAATCATTGTGATTTGTTAGGAATGTTATTTAATTCAGGGGATTTGTGTTAGTTTAATATAAAAAATGAATAAAGTATTGATAAAGGAAAGTTACATACCCTAAAGGTAGTATATATAGGTGAGATTACTAAATATTTGTTGAAGTGCAGAATTAATTTGGTCTAAATAGGTTATTTTCTTAGGCTAGACATACATTTACAGTGAAATGAACAATTGCTCTTTTTTGTGCATTGTTCATGTTTTTGTTTGGTATATGTCATTTTGTGGGGATCTGCATTTATTGCTTAAAGCTTATATATGTTTTTACAAAAATAAGTATCTGTGACATCAGGTTCCCATCTTAATATACAAGTAAAAGGAACAATTTTGAGGTTACCTAGGTCTGCCTTGCAGCGCAAATATCTGCTCCTACCAATCATTCCACAATTTTCCACCCTTCATTCAAGCAGACTCATATTACAAAGTTATCTACAATGCTTGATGTACTTTGTTTTACTTTGTTCTCACATTTGCCACTGGAAATTAAGCAAACAACTAGAGTATCGAAACCTATTCAATCAGCTTGTCCCTACCACTTGTTACATAGTAAGTGTCCCCTCTCCCCCTCTTTGGGTTATAAAGTTCATCTGTAATAACTGCTACACCTCTCTGGAATAACAAACAGAGAGTAAAATAAAGTTAATAAACTTTGGAATCTTATTATCATGAGAAATAGATATTAATATAGATCATAACTAAAAACTATTTTTATATCTTATTTATTCCCAGCATTTTGACCAGACAAAACAGTTTCTCATAATTAAACAAACATATCTTTGATGTAAAAACATGCATTTCCTATTGCAATAAAACCTGACAATTTATTATGTATTAATAATTGTATACATCTTACTCATTAGGTTACAATAAGGTCAGATGAGCCCAGTGAATTATTAATAGATTTGATTTTGTAGTATAGTGCAATATCAACAGAAGTTCTTAAAGCCTATTAGTTTCCCTGAATGTGTCAGACCCTAATGGGAGTCAAGTTCTTTAAAAATATTTGTAGTAATAGTATATTTGATTCAACATAAAAAAATAAACTGTTACACAAAAATAATTGATAATTGTGATCATTTAAAAGAATAAGATTCTATATTATTGTTAGCTGAAAAGTAGGGTCGGGTAGAGGGAAAAAAAGGGGGGGGGAGGAGCGAGCAAAAATGAAAAGTCTAATAGTCTAGAAGTTATAGCCAGTGTCCTCTTTCATTTTCAATTTTTTGGTCATGATTTCCAAGATAAATTGATGTAATATTAAAAAAGTTAAAATTGAGAATGGAAATGGGGAATGTGTCAAAGAGACAACACAACCCAACCAAAGAGCAGAAAACAGCACAAGGCCAGCAATGGGAAATCCCCCACCCTGAGAAGGGCTTCAGCTGGCTCCTAAACAATAATGTATACTGGTTCAGCGAAAATGGACATCACACTAACTTGGAGACATATAAATGAACCAAAATTAAAAAACATACAAGACTAACAAAGGCCAGAGGTTCCTGACTTGGGACGGGCGCTAAAATGCTTTGGGGTTAAACATGTTTTGTGAGATCTCAACCCTCCCCCTATACCTATAGTCAATGTGGAATAAACAAACACTAAGTAATATGCACAGGAAAACTCAGTTTAAAAGAAGTCTGAGTCCGATGTCAGAATAAGTAACAGAAGAAACAAAGCAAAATGACAATGATCAACATAATTAACAAAGGTCTACTAGCAGTTACTGACAGTTGCCATCTCCATAACTCAATTAACCTAATTAATATGATATGCTATCATTACTATTTTTTTATAGTTTTCTTGGATTTTCAGACAATCTTCAGAAAAGACAAAAACTTTAAATTTTTGTCTGACTTAAAAATGTTTACTCTTCAAAAGTTACCTTCCTTGAATAAATAGTTTTTTACTAGAGTTATCTTTCTTGGGAGCTTCCTGGAGGTCAACTGCCTTGTTATATATTCTTTATGCAATGATTTATTCTTGCATTTTGTTTTGCCTTAAAAATATGTTAAAAAAAATGTATGTTATTAACAAATGTAAAATTCTGCATTTGAATTATACCTCGGTAGAGGGAAAGTACCTCATACAAAACTTTTGATGAGAAAAGACTCCTAACATAATGAACTTGTTTTTAAATTTGTACAAAAACTGTTGCAATGCATTGATTTGCATAAAAAGACCAAAGTTTGTTACTGATGACTAACGGAGATGCATGTCTTTAGATCACCTGATAAAAGATGGATCTGACTAAATACATTGTTATGTAACCTATATGTTAACTATGACAGTTTTCAATTTTACAAGATTCTTCTTTTTTGAAGGTCAGACATTTTGGCAGTAACAAAATTTTATTGCGTCATCTGAAATGTGGTTTAAAAAAATGATTGATTTTTTGGGGTCTAAAGTATACTCTGTCAAATGAAATTCTAGTTATTTTAGCACACCAGCATTTAACAACATATTGTCTCAACAGATTTTTTTGGGGTCATGTTATACTGCTAATATGAACTCTACACTTAGGGCCAATAAAGAATCAGCCTGTTATTGAAACTTTAATAACAAATGCAGCAACATGGAGGTTCTACTGGGATAGAATCTTCTTGATCATTGGAGTAAACATTGAAGCAAGATATATATATATATATATATATATATATATTGTCCAGGACTTTAAAGAAAATATAATGGAAAATGTGTCCTCTTTTTATTCTATATCAAAACAGTCTATTTGCTTTAATCTATTGTAAAGGTTTTGGTTACACCATCTGAATTCATTGTAATATATGGGTTGAAGATACACATCTCTTTCTTTTCCAATGTATATGTAATCTTGACCTTTTTTCTACGAATAAAACACATTACAAGGTGACTCATTGCTCTTTCTTATATACGACCTACTTAGGATACGACTTTGTACCTTATTAAAAGAATTAGAGATTATATATTTTCTTTTGAATATGAATTAGGAAAATTAATCACATATTAAATCAAATGAGTCAGTTTGAAATTAATTGTGTTCTACTTGCATTGTTAGTACATGTACATGTATTTAAATTTACTAAATTTCTTATGTAGATTATACTGAAACTTTTTTAAGTCAGTTTTGAAGTTGTTTTAATTCCTCTTGTGAAAACAGTATTGAAAAAAAGGGGGAGACGTAGTGTCGCCTCAAGTGGAACTTTATGAGTGGGTCGTGATAAGTCTTTGCATTAACTATATATGTAGATCCATAAGGGCCCCCTCCTAAACCTGCCTCTGGTATACATAAATTTAATCTGGCTGCATACAGCATTATGATTTCTTCTTTTTAGAGCGGAGGTTCAGACAAACTTTCCTCTCAAAACAAAAAAATACTAGTAAAGACTATTTAATTTAAATTCAGAGTAAAGTTCGTCCATAAAGTTTAAGCTTCATGACCCCAAATACCCCCCCCCCCCTCAGAGACATCCTAGACTATGGCCTACTTCCTATCTCCATAATTTCTCCAAAGGGACATCAAAGGAGTGCATGTTTTCTTAAACAGTGAAATTTGGAATGCCAAATATTGCAACTGTGTGACAACTTGATAACTTGATAAAAATCCAGCGTAACTTGTCCCATTATGTCTTGGCTAATTCTATTCAAATGTTTTGACAAATTCAGACATGCTCTTTGGAATCAAACAAAAGTAAAGAAAGTGTGATATATCTGCTTTTTGTATCACAAGTAGTTAAGTATTTGCCATTTTATTGCATTTCTAATGACCTGTTTACACAAAAACAACAAAAACGTTTTGTAAAACACCCTCTCCATTACTATCTGCACAATCTATTTCTTCAGCCCTGTTAAGTCTATACAATATATAGTCAAAAATCTGACTGACTTACATTCTGCAGTCAGATGTATTTCGTAGATACGATTTACATGTTAAACAAATGTTTACATAGATTTTTGATTGGGGGGTCTGAAAATTAATAAAGGGGGTTTTAATTATAACCAAATACCAATTTCAAAATCCAATAAAAGAATTTCAAAGGAAAGTCTGACACTTTTACTCGAAAGTTATTTGTTAAGCGAGATTAAAGCATGATTTCAATAGCCATGTGAGTTTGTATAAATAATCTCTATTGTTGTGTGTTTCAAACCTTACAGACACGCGTTACATTTATCAAAGGATAGATTTTGGTGACGGACATTTGATTCTATAGAAATTTGTTTGAGGAAGATACTAGGTTCAATGTTACATTCTCTATAAAGGTTTATATTTAGAATAAAAACATTTGTAACAGTAGCCGAGACAACACAATGGGTCAGTTGGATTCCCAGTTCGTCACTTTAAATACCACGTTTACCTTGAAAGCAAAGTGAAATATTGGTCAGTTTTTCTTAGGATTGTTTTGTGACAGAAGGGCTGGACTGTACCCGTTTAAAATTTTTATTAAACTGAAGTTTTTAAAGGTACAGTGTAGATGCTACCTGTTTCTGGATATAAGGCAAATAATTACGATTAACTGTATCAGAAAAAAACTTCAAAGAAGTACATTCAAAGAAATCTCAAAAGCTTGGATTAAACAGTCTATTCTTCTAACGAGATTATGTAAATAGATTACAGTACAAAGGATAAATTATTTATAACAATTTCATAATTGGATTCAGTTAGATGGAATTAGACGATTTCTGTACAGAAAAAAAATGAACTAAACACTGAGGATGTTTTGCATAGGATAACTATATTTACAACAAAAAATGGTAATTAGCAAAAGGAGGATGGTTGCTACACCTGTAGATGTCAAATTTGATAACTGACACACGTTTATACCTGTTAATGATTAAGTAATGATTAATTGATGCCAAAAAAACGTGTGATACAAAGTTAAGAAACTGCAACATGGTCACGATACTTGTGATTAAAATGCCAGAAACAAATTGGTTAAGGAATCCAAATTAGCAAGGCAACTGTATTCAATTTTATTAACTTCTGTGTGGATTTATTAAGTAAAAACTGAAAATTGACAGAAAATATGCATTCAGTTTAAATTGTAATGGCATCTTCACAGAAGCAAACATATTCACCCAGACGTTCTGTCAGTTTTAATTATGCTGATTATTGGAATCAAATCAGGTAAGAAAACACCTGTATTCACACCTGTCTAAACAGGTAAGGTCATCTAAAACATTCTACACCCCCCCCCCCCCCCCCCCCCCCCGAAAAAATGCTTCTTGTTTGAAAAATAGATAGCATTAAAGCTAGATCAAATCAATGGACTAGCGAGTCCTATCAATTATCATCTACACCAGTTTTTAACATAAATTCTTTTAATCCTGCATTATAGTGACATTAACTGCCTCTATCCTGGTCCATTATAAAGTTAAAGAATTGTCATTTACCACAATCAATAAGGAGTGAAAAAAAATCAGGGTTTTGTATATTTCAAATGCATATTGTATCCTCAAATTAGCTGCCACTTATTATGTTTTTTTGAGATTTTATGTAAAGTGTATTCTTTTAAACTGTAACTTTTTGTGATGTGTAGTGAAAACTTAATTGAAGAAAAATCAAATTTAATACATATGCCATAAATACTGTTAGTTAATGTTCGGGCATCCTCTTTCTAAGTCCATAGATGAGAATACTGGAATTAGTTTGTTATGAGCGGCTGATTTGAAAGGGAAGCTTTTGTCTATACTGAACCTGGTATTCATGTCATTCCCTATTCAGATTTCAAGAGAAATGACACAAGTAATTTTACTTTAACCAAGTGTTTTAAGATTGTAACATTCATAATGAAGATAATTAAAGGATGTGATTTTAAAGGGAAGTATATTTCAAGAGAAGATATAACACAATACATTGAGAATAATTTAGAAAGCAAGTACCCCTTATTTGCCACAATGGATTTCATTCAGCATTTAAATTCAATTAGTATGGAAGCTGAAGTATTGTTACATTAATTAAGGGTTTTAAAGCTTGTAACATTCATACTAAAGGTAATTGAAGCATGCCATGTTCCCATTGATTGTTGTGTTTTCAATTTGAGTTATATAATGGAATAAAGTAGCCATGAAAAATTGTATTTATGAAATGAGATATGGCAGGTTTAATAATGTTTACACAACATCAGAAAATATTGTAACAGACTGGAAAAGTATATCCTGCATGCAAATTAAAAAAAAAAAAGCTAGATATAATTTTATACATTTCATCTGAAATATTTCAAATTTAAAAAATAGTTAAGAAAATGGTCATGCAGATATCAATTGTAGTTGACAATTGTTAGAATAATTTGTTTTTGATTTTATTTAATCGAAAAACATATTTATTGATCTCTGTTGATAAGATGCATCTTCAAGCTTAGAGTCCTGATATAGGTATGAGTATGAATCGATTAAAATTGAATTATGTAAATCCAATTGAAATTATGTAGTATTGTTGTTGTTGAGAAAGCTGTATAATAGCACAAGTTCATATCAATATATAATTGTAACACATATTTGAGATGATCTACTCTCCACTTTAATGCTACTTCAAGTGTTTACAGTAATAAGGGGAGATAACTTTACAAATACTTAATATCTGTCTGTGGTCTTGAGCAAAGAAATTTATTCTACTTGCTATTCTGTATACAACTTTAGGTTAATTCAATGTAAATAAACTTTGATTACGACCTCGTTCCTCGCTCGGTAGGTGGTCAAAACATCTCTGTCAATATTTTGTCATTGTAATTTAACATAAGAAACAAATACAAGATCGTTGCTTTACTCTTTGATTAGCGCACTCTCAAATGGGTCCCTACCACACAGTACGACCTATAGTATAATGGGCTGTTCTTATATTGTTTGACATTATTAAATTAGGACAAGGCTGCTTGATCTATGGCGAGATTAAACACCGCTTTAATGCAAGAAAGTTGTATAATATTAAATGTTATTAAAGCAAACTTCATTAGATTAAAGTAAATTTTTCACATCACTGCATCGGTATGCTCTGCATTGTTTGTTCCCATACATTTAGCCGAAAACTTTTTACAAACGATTAGGATCTCGAGGATTGTAGATTTGACGATAGGGTTTTGAACAGTTTCTTTAAGTCTTTATCTTCAAAAGGTTTATTGAGGTTTTACAATTCCACAAAACTGTTGTAGAAATTTTGCTTGATTAATTTGTGTCAGTTGACGTCAGTTCATCAACCTACTGACTTTCATCAAATATAGAAACTGATAAAAAAATTTGATTGCTGTATTGAAAAGGGTTTGCCCAAAAGCTTTACTTTAAGGTATTGCGAAATTTATTGTATGATGCTTTTATCTCAGTTTCGCCTAGCAGTATAAATTAGGTTTTTGAGGTGCAAAGGTTAAAATTGCACAAAAGTACAAGTGAAGATTAAAGTCTTGTAAGCTTGTGGCTCATAAGTTACAGTGTATAAAACATTCAATTGTTACATAATAGAGTGTCCTTACTACAGTTTGTTTATGTCTGCAAATTTGTAAACAAATGGTAATTTCTTTTTTAGGGGAACATCAAAGTTAGAGTCTAGTGTAAAAGTTCTGCGGTCATCATCGTTCCTACAGAAAGCCAGAGAGGCACAGGAAAGAGAGAGAAATAGACTGGGGATTCAAGATGATAGTATTGTACAGAAACAGTCCTCTTCCAGTATGAAACAAAGACCAAGGAGGATAGAAAGCTTCCAGTAAGTCATATAGCTCACATGCAACAGTTTGTTTTTGAAATTCATATGCAAAAGTTCCGTTCTTGAAGGTCATATATGCAACAGTTTGATTGTAGAGGTCACAACAATGAATTTATAATTTTTTTTAGATGTTTTGATACCATTCAGAAACTTAAGAACATATTTGAATAAATGAATGAAACTTTTGACTATTCAAATTGACACACCAAAATTTAACAAATACTGTTTTGGTGAGAAACCCCTAACAATCATTACACCAAAAAATCTCAATTTTTGTACTCTGCAATTTCCATTAAACATATTTTCAGGTGTATTTTTTTTTTCAATAAACCAACATTAAAGTTCTTCATTGCACAGCTGTAGTATTATATTGACACCTAGCAATGAATTCTCATAAAACCAGTGCATAGTGGCTGTCTTAAACTTGCAGTGAGGTATTATAAGATTTGGTAATTGTTAAAGGCCTCACTATGAATTTTAGATGAAGAGCAGCAATTAAAGGGCGACTCCTTTTCTTTAAGTTTTGTCATGTGGGTGTGAAAGGTTTTTCGTGACGCGAATATATCATCCCTTTTGCATTTAAGGGAAAAAAAAGATGTAGAAAATTATAGATACATGTAATTATATAAATATGCATTTGTTTATTTAGATTATATTTTGTTCAAGGTTTTGTCACAAGACAAACAAAGTACAAAAGATTAATTTATCTTATAATAACATTCTTCTGCACTTTTATAAACAAAGTAAATGAAAACAAAAGATGCACATTTTGCCACTAGACATATGTTAACCCTATGATTAGTCTAAAAACATTATCTATGTCTTGTAATTATAGAGTTCAAAGAAACTTAAATCATACAGACCACCCTATATACAAGATAGTTATCATACAATATCTATATAATTTTGTGGTTTGTCCTGCAGGAAACTCACCTAATAAGCCTGAAAAGTAACTGATTGTCACAACTGTTTGTGTCAATACATATGAATAGAAGAAGTAATTTTGTTAAACTTCACATATGTGTTTGAACTTCCTGAAATTCAATAGTTGGAAAAAAAATTCAAATAGATTATTTATAGCAGTTAAAAAAATCAAATAGTTCATTTATAGCTTCAAAGTGATAATGATATTCAATAGTGTTGATAATTGTCTGTGTAAGTTTCTTTGGTGCAATTTTTTTAATAATGTATAGGTCTGATAATATCTGTCAGTAGATTGGTAGGCCAGTTGGATAGTTTAGATTGGCTTCAAAAATTGACAGAGGAAAATATACATTTTATGATATGGTATAAATAAAATTCTTCTAGTATCTTGAGCACGGTAGAGATAGGTCCAAATAATTATTACGTCTTGGAAGTTTTAATTTTTTGCTTTGATGTCTTCCTGCGAATGAGGGATAAAAAAAAAAATTGAAATTGAAAAATACCCCGCAGAAGGTATGATTATCTGGAATAGGCAGAGATAATCAGTGGTCAGCGGTAAATCAGCATGATTTTTTGGCAAACACTTCAGTATTTGATTGTTTGTGAAAATCCTTTAAAAAAATTGGATTTTGTTTTCACACATACCTGCAATATTACTATCCATCAGTATTTATCACTGAATTTTATACCTAAACGAGTAAGAAATAGATTTCATTTAATTTATACAAAATCTAATAGGTTTAAATCTACAATTTTTCAAATCTAATGGAAAACAGTTGATGTCTTTGACCCAGAACGTAATTTGTATTTATCTATTTACAATTTGATAGTACTAGAATCTACGTATCTCTTTTTAAAACTGACATAACATTGTACTTTAAAGTTAGAAAATGTAATTTACTCGAAAGTAAACAAAATAACTGCAAGTCATCTTGGCATGCTAAACCTTAATTTGGCATCTTTTGTGAAGGGAAACACCTAATTAGGATCAAAAGTGCATTGTTATATGTCACTGATTTTTTTACGATATTTCAAATTTTTTTTACTTGACACCTTGTAGTTTGTTTTTAGTTACCACAGAGGTTTTGACTGACCTTGGATCATGGCGAGACAATTCGCTATTTTTATATTTAGAAGCATTGTGAAGAGTTTTCATGCAACAGCAAATCATAAAAGAATATAATTGGTATTGTTAAAGAGTTAAAAAGCTGTGATTAAAATATGACAGGAATTTCATTAACATAGGACGTAATAGTTTTTTTCATTCTTAACCTTTTGTTAGTATGAATTGGTTAACTAACCAGTTGAACAGTTCTGACAGCTAAGTTGCTAGTGGTAAACGAGATAAATGTTAGCTCAATTGCTAAGGATGGACGGAGCGAAAGGGTGATAAAGTTAATAATTGAAGAAATTGAGTGGAAATGAGAAACGGGATCTGTAAAATCTGAAAGAGAGAGCTAAGAATATGACTCTCCTCTTTAAATAACATTTATTAATGGTCAACCCATTTTAGAAAATTCATGAAAGAGAACTGATTGATTTGGTAAGGAAACAAGAATAATCAAAAGCAGGAAACAAATTGATCTTGTAGTAATTCCATTAATAAAAGACTCCCGCGCTTGGCAGGTGTGTTCGACTCTTAATTGACTAGGATTGTCAGTTTTCTTACCAGAAGTCAGTGGTTCTCTCAGCACATAGATTCCTCCACCAAAAGGGGCCAACACGAAATGGTCAACAGTGCTGGAAGTGGTGTTAAAGACCTATCAATCAATCAATTATAGGTCACATTTTTCATATATTGTTTTATTTCTAATCATTAGACTAAATTAAAATTTGCAAATATAGTTCCTATATAAAAGTTTATAGACCCTGGAAAAAACATTTCTTACACTGTATTTTTTACAAAGTTGGAGATGAACTTTTTATTATGAAATTCAGTCATTCTAAGTGTCCTTTGTATCAAAATTAGTACTGTATCTTGCTTTTAATCTACAGTCTAATACAAAAAGTAGGATTTAACTTTTAGATTACCAGGTCGGTAAACTTAGTATTATAGTATTCCCTTTCAATTAAAGTATTGTTAGGTCATACAGTACTAAACAATTTGAAATACTTATATTGTATGATTTCAAAAGACAATAGGATATACGTTTCAAAGTCTATCAACTACAATAACATTACCCATTAGTACCTTAGATTTGATTACGTTTGTCTCGGTATTAAATTTTGGTAAAAATTATTATGTTGATCACACTTGACTAGGCCTCTTTTGTTTTGACAGAATAATGGCTGACAATTATGTTTGGGAAACTATTTATGTTATTTTGAGGGAAATTTTCAATATTTAAAGAAAACATTGATATTATAAAGAAATGAATTCAAATTTGTTATCAAGGATATCTCTCCAACTCCTGAGTAAAAGTACTATGTGATGTTATGAATTTTTAAACTATGGGAAATAATGCTTCACAAACGAAATGTAAGGAAGTTAATATTAACTCTAATGAAGAGTCACAATCAGAGGATGAGATGTGAGTATATAATCAGTTGAGTTTTACATAGTTTGCTGCTGTATTTAGTAATTTGCAACTGGAAGTTAAGCAACCAACAATCAATCAATTAATTTGCAATTAGAGGCAATTTAAGTTAGTAAAAAAATCTGACATTCCATTGACTACTTTATTTTACTTTTCTCACTGTTTGAGAGAAATTATTTGAAAAAAGATAAAAAAAATATTTGGTTAAGTGATTGCTATCTGCTAATCTACTATTAGTAAAAAATGAATTAATAACTGGTAGATAGGTTCATTTTATTCATGGTTGTCCTTGAGCAAAGTTTGGAAGTTTTTAGTCCTGTTCCAAAAAGGGAGACCCCGGAGTATGTTGCATCATGGGTAGGTGCAGAAATTTTGTTTTAAAATTGATATTAATTTTGGTAAGCATAATTTTTGAAGAGCAGTCATATACTGATTTAAAATTTGGACTTCAAAACTACCATGTGTTGTCATGCATGATAGAACATTATATATTTTTGCATTGTGTTTAATTATTAAAGATATTCTATAAACATTTTTGGTCTTAAATTCTATAGGATACGGCAATGAATAAAAGAAGGCAATGACAGTTACTTTATTACAGTAACTTAAGGATTTGAATAAGATTCCAAACAGAGTGTTATCTTAAATCATCATGTGGTCATTTGTAGTATATGTAAATACTATTACATGATTGATTGATTGGTTGTTAACGCCACTTTCATGTTGGCGTTTGTTTTTGTTGCAGTTCAGTGTTTCTGTTGTTCACTTGTTTTCCTCTTATAGTTGATGTGTAACCCAGATTTGTTTCCGCTTAATTGATTTATGACTATTGAACAGTGGTATACTACTGTTGACTTTATTTATTCAGCACTATTGTGCTATTTCGTGGTGGTCAGTTTTTATTGGATGGTGGAAGCCGAAAGGACGTTAAAGAACCACGGCCATCCAATAGGAAAACTTACAATCCTATTCAATAAAGATTGGAGTCGAGCCCACCTGCCAAGTGTAGGGTTTCGAACTCACAACCTCAGTGTTGATAGCTTATGATACAGTAGTTCGACTACTGACCATTCGGCCACTGAGGTCCCACACTATTACATAAAAAAATGTGGTAGTTCCAAACTATTTGAAATGAAAAAATTCACAATGATAAATACAGTCTTCTTTAGATAAATACGATAAAAGTCTCTCACTGCTGTTTTACTGGTACTAAAAATAGCTATCATATCATTTATGAGAGAAAAAAAAAACAAAACAAAAATAAACTCAGACAATGATTTATGGAACCATATCAAGCCAAATATATCTTTATTGCATATAGCAGTATAAATAGACATCATTATTAACATACAGCATAAATTAATAGAGTCTATCATACTTATTTTTAGATATTTGTTTTAATTGCCCTCAAAGAATAATTAGAAGGCCTTTTGTTTTGCCCCCATTAGTCTGATGGTGTGTCTGTCAATGTGTCTGTCCATCTGCCCACTGCAAAGAGCTTACATGCTCAGTCTATGAATAGTGTATAAAATGGGGGTG